TTTACAGCTTTTGGTGGCTATATCCACATTATTTATATTTCTAGTACAATATGACATAACCTATGAGGCCTTAACGAAGACTCACAATTCCGGAAGACCAAATAATACCTAATTTTACCGCCGTTGAATAACATAACACTTTAAAATTTAAATGCAGCCTATTATATGCACCGGAACACATTGGAACAACTTATATATCATGTATACTATCATATCCAATACAATTTATATATTGGAACTGAACCTATGTCATAAATTAAAACAAAAATTGATATAATCACGTTTGGACAGAGGATTTCATACAATTTGATCTTTTATTATATATAAATAAGTTATAGGGTTCTATAGTTGAAACGAAAAGTCGACTTTTCGACTTTTTGCATTTAGTTAAAAGTCGACTTTTCGACCTTTCGACTTTTTCCATTTTATGAAAAGTCGATTTTTCGACTTTTCGACCTTTTTCATTTATTTAAAAGTCGACTTTTCGACTTTTAGTATTTTATAAATGGTCGACTTTTCGACTTTTTCCGACTTTTCGACTTTTTCCGACTTTTTTCGACTTTTCGACTTTTTCCGACTTTTTTCGACTTTTCGACTTTTTTCGACTTTTTCCGACTTTTTTCAACTTTTCGACTTTTTCTGACTTTTCGATTTTTTACGACTTTTTGACTATTTTCGACTTTTTTCGACTATTTTTTACTTTTTTCGAGTTTTTCCGACTATTTTAGAGTTTTTGACCTCTTTTTTAAAATATTCGACTATTTTCGACTTTTCGACTTTTTCCGAGTTTTCGACTTTTTCCGACTTTTCGACTTTTTCCGACTTTTCGACTTTTTTCGACTTTTTTCGACTTTCTTCGACTTTTTTCGACTTATCGACTTTTTTCGACTTTTCGACTTTTTTCGACTTTTTTCGACTTTCCGACTTTTCGACTTTTATTTACAAAGTCGACTTTTTCGACTTTTTTCATAGACGATAGTCGAGTTATCGACTTTTTTGGAACAAAATAGTCGACTTCGACTTTTCGACTTTTTTCGACAAAAAGTCGATTGTTCGATTATTCGAAAGTCGATTTATAGAACCCTAATAAGTTATTGCTATCTTGTCCATTCCGTTTATATTTTTCTCCATAATAAGGGTTAATTATTAACAGCTGTTTATTGTTTTCATTCTATAATAATATTTTGCAACACACAGCTTTTGTATATAGCACTATGTCGTAACATAATACTTATGTCAACTTAGCTTTACGTTATTGTTGTGACAGTAAAATCGTCGTGAACAAAACAACTTTTATCAACCGCATCTGATAACATTTTTTTCCTTATTTACATATGTGTCTAAATCAACTGCAGTATTAGCACGTGTATAATATTTATCAACAAAAAATGTAAACAAAAGACTACAAAAAATGTAGACGTATTGAAGAAGCTGCCAACAGTTCAATTTTTAACTAAATCTATCAGAAATGGATAGACAAACAACTCGGGACCCTAATTAAATGTTGGTCCTACGTAATATTTAAGCAATGTGAATATATTGGACATAAATAAAAAACATATGTTACACAAAGTGTTTTCCTATTATTTATCAGTTTCATCAAACTAAAAAATGGTTTCGGTAGTATATTACCAGAGCTATCGAAATCCGGGGATGTCACTTGTGAAAAATTAGACTTTTCTAGGGTCTTTCAATACAAAGTGAAAATTTTCGAAATTTTCGGCAAAAAGTTGTTAGTGAAAAAACAGGCAAAATTAGCAGTTTCTGAAAACGGAAAACGGGGTTCGATAGTAAATAACTAGTGCTATTGAAATCTGGGGATGTCACTTGCGAAAAATTAGACGTTTCTAGCGTCTTTCAATACAAAGAGAAAATTTTGGAAAATTAGCGGTTTCCGAAAACGGAAAACGGGTTACGATAGTAAATAACTAGTGTTATCGAAATCCGTATTGTATTGAAAGACCCAAGAAACGTCTAATTTTTCACAAGTGACGTCCCCGGATTTCGATAGCACTAGTTATTTACTATCGAAAATAGTTTTCCGTTTTCAGAAACCGCTAATTTTGCCTGTTTTTTTTTCACTAACAACTTTTTGCCGAAAATTTCCAAAATTTTGTTATATCAACAACAACATTCATAAACATATATTTAAGAAAAAAAATGTTGATAATGCGGTTGATTTCCAAATATTTATTTCTTCACAGGCATGACAGTAAAAATATAACAGCAAAAAAAGCGTGTGTACTTCGCTAAAAAATTCTATACTTTTTCTTCGATTCTTTACATTAAAAAAGCCTTTAATTAATAATAATGTGTGAAGTTGAAGCTGTCTCAAAAATTGCCAAATGTTTGCAAGTACCTTTGGGTAAGATCCAGCTGAATGAGGAACAGGTATGTTTAAAGAAATATAGCTAAATCTATTTTTATTAGTTTTTCCTTGACCTTGTTACTTTATTTCTATGTATGTGTATGTCTCGATGCTACATTTTTAGGTGGTAAC